TATTATACATTTATAGTAGCACTCTCTCTCTCTCTCAAGTGATACACTGCAATTTCTCCGTTGGAAGGGCGAAGCTTCTGGGACGAAGTGAATTTATTTCAAATCAATTGAACTTGAATTTAAGATACAAATTAGATAATATTATACATTTATAGTAGCACTCTCTCTCTCTCTCAAGTGATACACTGCAATTTCTCCGTTGGAAGGGCGAAGCTTCTGGGACGAAGTGAATTTGTTTCAAATCAATTGAACTTGAAGTCTTCTTTGTTCTTGTATATAAGTGATCTATAATCTAAGATTAACTCAATGGCCTCAACAGCAAGAGCACTAGAGGTATGCTTTTTCATCAGTTCTATACTTCTATGGGTTCTTAATTTTCCTCCATTTTTTTTACTAATTCTTTTTTGCCACTAAATTCTATTTAAGGTTGGACGATGCATCTTTAAAATGTTGATCATGGTTTGATTGTACTTAAGATTCTTTTGTAGATTTTATTTGATAAATTGACTTGCTTGCTTACAATAAGTGATTGTATATAACAATAACAAGTTTTCTTAATTTCTTTTGTTTTCCTATTAGGAAGAAAAGAAAAAAGAAATACAAATAAGAGCGATGGAAATTACAGAAGAGAATGGTCAGATGGAAGTTAACAATGGGGCGCTGTTAACTCCATACGAGTCCCTGATAAACGTCGATGATTTGATCACCATGGTTGGTAAGCCTTCCATCTTTGAAATCCCAAAGACACTCTATAGGCATAATAAGACGGCTTATCTTCCAAATGCATTCTCCTTCGGTCCACTACATTATCGCAAACCTGACCTCCAAGCCACACAAGCGCTTAAATTCACGGTTCTTAGAGACAAGTTAAGTCGTTGCAACGATCCAAAGGCAAAGTTAGCAGAGTTGGAGAGAGCAGTCTGCGAGAGGCTGTTGGAGGTTCGTCAATGTTATGCCAAACAGCTTGAAGAACGAGTTGACGAAAATAAATTTGTAGAAATTGACGATGACAAATTTGCAAAAATTTTGGTGCTTGATGGTTGCTTTATTATTGAATTGTTCTTCAACGAGTATGATCGGCAGGATTATCAGCAGTATCATCAGCGGTCCATGGAAGAAGGATTTCTTCTATATGGAATTGAAACCCAGGCGGCCTATCTGTTCCAATGCTTGTATCATGACTTGATTTTGCTGGAAAATCAGATACCTTGGTTCGTGCTAGAGCTCTTGTCCAACCTGCTTTATGGGGGCGATAGCAAGTTGAAGATCCGTAAAGGTGCCATTCGTTTCTTCAGTAAAATGTTCTCACATGATGGACTTTCTATACCTCCTGCACTTCTTGAAAAGGAAAAAGTGGAGCATATTCTGGATCTGTTAAGGAAGTGTTTGTTTCTATCATCCTTAAGAGATGAGAAGAACGTGCAATCTTCCTTTCTACCAAGTTTAATCCGTTTTCTATTTTTGCCCCTTTGGAAGCTTCTGCTTGTGCCCCTGTGGAAGCGTGTGCTTTTGCCCCTGTTGAAGCCTGTGTTTTTGCCCCTGCGGAAGCATGTATTTTTGCCCCTATGGGAGTATCTGCTTTTGCCCCTATGCCGATGGAAGTATCTGGTTTTGACCCTTTGGGCTTTGGAGCAATTATGGGATTTTCTACGCCAATGGAAGTATCTGGTTGTGCCCCTTGCGCTTTTGATGCATCTATTGGATTTTCTCTCAGAGCATCTATCTTCGCTAACTTCGCACCTGTTGGAGTTCTTACAGAAACTCTTGGAGTTCTTACAGAAACTCTTGATAGCACCACAGGCACAGGTATCGGAAATGGAGATGCAGGTTCCCTCTGCCAGCAGACTCAAAGAGGCCGGTGTGAAATTCAAGAGAGGCAGATCACTAAGGTTGGATATAAAGTTTCAGAAAGGTGTTCTTGAAATTCCATCTTTGTTAATCCATGACTCCAGAGAAACCATCTTTCGAAACATGATTGCTTTTGAGCAGTGTTATCGTGGTTGTCATCCTATAGTCACTTCTTATGCCAAACTCATGGACAATCTCATTGACACAGTTGAAGACATAGACATACTACGCAAGAATGGCATTATTTGCAACTCATTGAATCCAGAGGACGCGACTAAGTTCTTCAACAGCTTATACAATAGCACTTATATCAGTCACAACCATTATGCTGACATCTACAAGGATGTGAATTGTTACTGCCAGCGATGGTGGCCTAGATGGCGAGCCTTTTACATTCACAACTATTTGGGCAAGCCATGGGCTATTTTTTCTCAAATATTTGCTTTACTTATTTTAGCTCTCACCATTTTACAAGTGATACATAAGTAACTTATTCCTTCCTTTATCAAGTTTGCATTAATTATTTTATTTGGACGAGGTAGCATATCCCTGAATTGTTGGGTGATTCTGTTGCAATGTAATTTTTGAACGTGTAATTTTTTTTATGAGATTTTCAGTGTTGTTGTTGTTGTTTGTTTTTTTTTTTTTATGAATTATTTATTGTACTAATGGTAATGGACATTCTTGAATGAAATATAGTAATGAAGCACTGAATCCGTTTCGAATTTGGGTGTATAGCTCTTTTTAAAATAAATAAATAAATAAATAAATATGATGACTTTTCTCTCTCCTAGAGTGATAACTGTCTAAGAGAGAGAAAACAGTTACTGTCGTCCATGGCGCATTCTCGTCGGAATTCGCCCAGGATTTCT